TCCAACAAAAAAAATTTGACAATATTTTTATTCCATCTTTTTATAATATAATCACACATTGTAAACAATGTTAAAAATGCAAAAAGTCATAAATTCATAGTTGTAGTACGAATACTAATAGAAATAATTATAATAACAAAAAACCAGTTATAAGCAATAGAATCCAACACAATAAAAATAGAATGTTCATAAGTACTATTTACTAACTGAATAGTAGTGATAATACTTATGTGTTATAAAATTACATATAAAAATGTAACTTAGTAATGATTCTATGTAATTTAAGATTAATTTTTTTGTCATAGCTTTTTTTTCGTACCATTTTTTACAATGGATTTTATTTCCATGGCTTTTATTTATTACGAACTTTTTTCACGGATTTTTTTTCACCTACCAAGCTTTATAAGTTTGATAAGTGGAATACATAAAGAATACTTATAGTATTCTTTGTGTGAGTATTTGCGTATGAAAATTAAAATCATCAGTTTTAGATACATTGACCTTACACAAATCTAATGAAATAAAAAACCCGTTTGTTAGAGTAGTAATATACCTAATTATTTTATTATAATCCAAGTTCCTTTAACAAACGAGTTTATTAAAGTTTAACAAACAAATTTAAACTCTGTATTAGCTAACTTGGTAATAATACACTATCTGTAGTATACGTGTATAGATATTTACAGTAGAAACACTAAGTAATCAGTTTGTCATAAATCACTCGATTATTCGCAAGATAAATACAATAATGAAAACAATTTTTTAGATACATATATTCTTTGATTTAAAAATAATTCTACAATGAAAATAATAAAAAAAAAGGTCCAAAATATCGAATTTTGTAGGTTTATTTCCTATGCCCTCTTTTGTTATGAAATTCTGGCTACGCCACTTGATGGTAATGACAATTTTTAATAATTATAAACAAAGAGAACAATAAGGTTAAAAGATTATATTATACAGAGTGGTTGTCTAACATGACTGATGGAATAACATTAAATAAATAAGACATAAAAGCATTTTTTGTTTTCAGACATTAATAATAATATTCTACGTACTATGATTTTTAAAGAAAAATTTGGTAAGACCAACTTAAAATTGTGTCAGCTTTTGTTTTTAAAATGGTATCATACATTTAACCAATTCACAAACTAGGAAATTATCTATCTATGATAATGACTGGTCGATAACAACTTTTGGACTAGTATTGTAAATGATATCAGCATTTTTAGCCATGGCGGGAGAACTGATGCAGTTTATAAATGTGTAGAGATAAAAATAAACAGAACCTCGTTTCACCTCTACTCTTTATATAAAAATGTTAATAACTTCCAAAATACTGGTTTAAAAATTGTTAACGACCGTTCATTTTCTTAATTAAATTATTTTCTTATTTTTAATCGGGTTAAACATATATGTTTCCATTAAAAAAAAACTAGTGTTGATAAAAATTTTAAGGAGTTAAGCGGAGAAAAGAGGGAGGGAATAGAACATTATTTTTAAATATAGAACGTAGGATATTATTAATTTCTGAAAATAAAATATTATTTTATGCTTTATACTTTTAAAGATATCACGCGAGTCATAGTTATACAATCGTCCTGCATTGACGTTTAATTGATTTCAATTGGAATTTTTATTTAGAAATTTGATGAGATAATTAATCATTTTGTATCATTTATATAGGTTCGTAAAAAAAGAACTGTAATTTTTGCATAAAAAAATACTTACAATCACATCACCGTTATAAATGTATTTTATGCCTGAAGTTGTTATATTGTTGAGCTGAGCTTAGAATTAGGTAATTATTATTCAAAAAATCATTGCACGTCATTTTTAAACACTATTGTTCTGACTCCTAACAATATAGTAGAAACATTTTATACTTAATTGTGAATGAATAAACAATAGAGTAATAAACAACTGTAGTTAAAATAACTGTGACGTTTGCAGGATTGCGGATAGAATGAAAGGGGCCATCTTTATTATTACACTTTAATGATGAAACTATAAAAAGTTTACTCAAAAAAATATCAAAGTTTTTGTTGACATTTTGTATTGTGTTATTACATTTCAAGATGTTTAGTTAGTTAACTTCAAAACGCAGTGCGATCGATGAATGAAAAGAATCATTATGAGTATATTACAGCTTTTTAAAATATCTCCACATACAACTCTTTTTTTTTTTTCAATAATAATTACTCAACTTCAAAATATATTTGAGTTTGATGTTTTAAAATTATAGCGTGTTTTAGATAATATTTTTAATGATTCAGAATTGTTATCAATATATTATGGAATGATAAAAATAAATTCTAAATCATTAACAAGTATTATCCGAAAACACACCCCAAGCATTTGTAACGGTTAGTCGCTGTACGTCAAATTATTACGCCTTAGATGTTTGTGGCGATCACAAAACGAAAAATTTCAACAAACTTTTAAGTGTAACAAAGCGATACTCGCATTGCCAACTTTATTTCAAACTTGTTCTCACAATCGACAACAAACAATCACTTGAGCGTACACGAGCAATAATTGAACGTCACTACGTGTTCCTATCTCAATGTGCACGTACTGTAATGATTTATGGAGCTAAACTACGGCCGGTGCACAAACTATAACGATAATACCCTATTACGTTTCAGCGAGTGTTGCAATAAAACATTAATGCCCAACGAAATCACCTTTTGCCTGTATATTTTACAATATTGTAATAGCTGTCGTTTAATGGTACCGCTACACGGCTCCGTCGGCGGCGGGCGACACTTTCCCGTTGGACGTCTAATAATATTATAGATTCTGACTAGGTCAACGTCGTGTCTGCAGGGCGAAAGGTGAACGACCTATTGAGCACACGAGCGACCTCCGCTTGTCGCTGACCAAAACTACCGCGTTTCATATAGTAGGACCTGTATCAAAAACCTGGTCTTTCCACCGAAGCCATCACGCGATTTGTTTGTTTTCGTTGCAACGACAAATTAATAAATCGAAAAGGGTTTCCGCGAGAAATTCAGGTCGGCCGAGTAAGTCAAAACGCACCGACCAAACCGTCGCACCAGTGATCGTCCGGCGCTCTCGGTTTTTGATTTCTAGGTCAGCGCAACGACCAGCGTTGCCCGGTCACTGTACGGTTTACGTGCTCTCTGCCCAACGCAGGGGCGTATTTAAAACTCGTTTTAGGGAGGGGGAGGTGACTTGATTTTCTTACTTTGATAATCATGCTAGAGTAAATTTGTTTGCTAAAAAGTGATGACCAAAGAAAAAAAGTCTATAGAGCCATATTTCGTAGACATCGGTTTTAAAAAACATTGATAGCGCTGGTCCAGGATGAGCAGGCGATTGCCTCCATTCCTAAATATTTAAAATCTTACTCAAAACGGGTATGATGAGTCGTTATCCAACGGCAGTAAAACGAAGGGTAGATAAAACCCGCTGCTCGTTAAGATCAGTAGTGCCGCGGTTTCTCTTAACCGATTTGACGTTTCAAGTTGAAATATGGTTCTGAACGTCGCAAATAATGATTTTACCTTTTCAAATAACAACGTAATTGTTTTCGTGGCTCAGTGATTTCCTGACGTGCCACTCGGTCGCGCGTTTATTGCATTTCTTCGAAAACAAACAAGACATTGTCGTTACACGAGGACAATTATTTACAAAGCGAGCTGCCCATTAAAACTGGTCCACGTATCATGGGGACACTACGTTCTTGGCAAAAACAAGCGTAAACGTTGTGGTAAAAAACTACTGTAGGATTCACTGTGAGTCATAACATTTTGGTGTACCAACCACTGGAGTAGTCCACTGTGTATTTCATAGTAAAATGTATTACAATTATAACACTTGGGAAATGACACTGTCCAATATTTCAATTAAAAAAAAAAAAAAAAATTCTACAACCATAATAAATACAGCGTAAATTCAACATAAATGAAACACTACCTCTTTTATAAGCTATGTATGGTCATCTAAAGTTGTATTTAACAATTTAACCTCACAGTACGTGTCTCAGTTTTTCTAGGTATTCAGGATGATTAAAAAGCCAAATTTCAATTATATACGTTTTAATAAAATAGTTAATTTTATTTTCATAACTATCAATAGATCTACGAGTCTCACAAAAAATGTTCAGACAAATTTTTTTTACCATTATTGACAAAGATTTCATCTTGTCAAATTTTAAGATGCGTACTGCCCCACAGTATAAGTGAAAATCGATTTTTCTGTTAGCCAATTAATTCATTTAAAAAACCAAAAAATCCAGGATAAAAATTAATATTAATTAAACAGATGTACTCATTTTTTTATTATAAAAATAACTGTTTTATAAGAAGTATTTTCTTTATTTATTAACTACTCTCAATAAATCCAAGCTAAAACCTGGTATAGTCAGTAACATAGCATAGTTGAGAACATATTGATTTCTTCATACTTGTTTGATAAATATTTAAAAAATGTCTTTAAACTAAAGTTAGAACAAATATTTAATGGTAAATTTTTTACAAAAGAAATTCACCCTAATGGTTTTAAATGAATAATTTATGTTTATTTTTTAATAAAGTTATACACAATATAAAACCAAAATTATACATGCTACTTGTAATTATATATATATATATATACTTGCATGGTAAAATTGAGGTTTCTTAATAACCTCTGATATAAACTTTAAAGCTGTTCAAATTTAATTTTATAGAAAACTAATAATTACAATTTATGTACAAGACTAATAATATTAAAAAATTTACAATAGAAAATAGGTACACAAAAAAATACATCATAGACATATGATGAATGTTTGAAAATTTTGGTAAATAGTATATGTATATCTTAACCTACAGAAAATTGTATACTTTATTATCTGCATTTTTCAGTAATCATAATTTTTAAAATTATCAATAATATATTTTTATATGTATGCTTAATATAATACTCAAAATACAGCAATAATATAAGAAATCTATAAACTATGCACATTAAGGGATAATAGTATTTTACAACTGTAATTTTTATGTGACTTACTAATGTGTTTAAACAAAATTATCACATAAGATATTTTATTTACAACTGTTAAAAATAATTAGTTAAAGAAGTTATAAAGTCCATTGTTACTTGATGCATCATTATTATATTGACCGTCAATAGAAATCTTATTTTGTTCATCAGCCATGGGAGATTGTCTACAAGCATCTGTATAAGATAACAAGCTCTCCTGATATTGTGGTGATATTGGCTGTTGATCACCATTGAAAGGCAAGATGACATTGCCATTTGGTTGTTGCTGAGCCTGTCGTTTATACAATGGTGTACGATCGATCTGATCAATACCGACTAATTGTAGTTGATTAAAAGCAAATTGATTTGCTAATGATTTGTAAACATCATCAGATGTTCCATTCCCATCAAGTGATTGATTCATCTAAATAAAAAACATTGTTTTACTAGCAAAAAGGTTAAGGTTTAGTATAATAATAACAATAATACATTTGTTATATTAAAAAAACAAAATATACAATAATACAAGTCATATTATATTTATATTATAAAAAAATTACTAAATTTTGGTTTCCAAATCCGTTAATATTTATTTGTTGTTTCTGTGTTTGTTGCTGAAGATGTTGCTGTTGTTGTTGTTGTTGTTGTTGAAGTTGATGCTGTTGTTGCTGCTGCTGCTGCTGTTGAATAAAAATATTTAATATATCTTCGGGAACTCTATTATTTATTTCTGGTGGTGGAATATTCATTTGAAGAGGTACATTAGACTGTTGTTGAATAACAGGTTTTTTATATAATGTTTGTGATCGCAATAGTTCAATAAATCTAAAAAAAATAAATGTTCTTACAAATACACTTATTTTAATATGAAAATTCATACGTTTGTCCCATTAAAGCTCCACCATTATCTGTTAAAAATTTTAGCCATTCTAATTGTTTTGTTTGGGAGTTGGCCATTTCTTCAATGCTTATATTATGTGGTAACATACTCTAAAAAATTTGTAAGAATGAAAAAATTGTATTTACACAGTGATTGTTTAACTATTACTCACAAAATATAATTAAAAATATATAACATAAAATATTTTTTCTTTTCACAAGTTAATAAAGTTCTACGTCCTTTATTTTCAAAAAAATTGTTTCTATCTCCCCCTTCTTCTCTTAAAATAATATTAACTTTAGTTAAAAATATATGTTAACCGGATGAAAAATAAAAAATAAATTAAATTAAGAAAATGCCTGATTGTTAATATTTTTTAAACCATTATTTTGGAAGTAATTATCATTTTAAAATATAGACTGAGGCGCAGGTATGGCAATATTTTATATTAGATATTTCTTAGCTGCACCCTTCCTTCTGCCAAGGTATAAATATATATAAATATTTAGTATCAACTTTGCAGTAATATTTTAAAACATGAATTTTCATGCATAAATTTTATTATATCAAACATTTAATTATGTTTAATGAAAGAGACAGAAGAAAACACTATATTTTCATTCTAAAAATTAGTTATAGGTATATAAACTTTTTTAATGAAAATTATCATTGTTTATATGAGCGCCTGCAATTTGTTTTATTCTAGTGAACATGTGAAGTAATTTTTCATAGTTGAAATGTTACTTTAAACTATTCATTATATTTTTACTAAATAACAAGTATTAATTTAATGCTATAAAAAAATGTTTACAATTATTTAATTAAATATTAGCTTTTTTGGGAAATCTGTTCAATTAGTAAGTTGTTATCAATTTTGATTTAAAAAAAAATGAATATTAATATTATATATTCCTTATATAATTCTACTTTTTTCAAATAACTTTAACTTATGTTAAATTAATACAATAAAGGTCTTATTATAATAATAATACATATAGTTTTTTCCACTTCAATTATAAGTGCTTAAGAAGCACTGCTTATTCATGTGATCATTTTCAATGAAAATTACACATTACATTACACTGAATCATACTTGAGTATGAATAAGTTATGTTTACTTCTATATTTTCTTGCAGCAGAAACTAATGGTTGATATTGTAATGTAAGAATATAAAATTTTAGAACTTTAAAATGCTACAAATTTAAACTATAAAACATTAATTAAATATTTTTGTATCAACATATTTTTTAAACTTAGTCAATAAAATAGATATTTTGAATTTTTAAAAAATAAAAATTACGTTAATTTTTAATTAAAAAAAATTGTAATATTAATATTGTAATTATAGTCTTAAAGTGCATAAATAATTTTAAAAAGAAGGTTAAGTAAAATATTAATTGGATCAAAATTTATATAATTTGTCATATCGTTGTGATTCTCCCTGTTTAAATACATATAATTTGTTAAATTAAATTGTTCATTAAATAATAAATAATTTGTTCAACTGTAAAAAAAGAATATATAAAAAAAAATGTATTTGAATATAATAATAGTTAATTATTGAAAAAAGCAAAACTATCTAAAAAAATGTCTGTTTTAAAATATACAAATTATATTACTGTCTCCATAATAAAACCATATAAATTGATTTTGTTGACATTATTCAGTAGGAATAATAGAAAACACTTATTTTGTATAGCTAACAATGGAAATATGTTTTTTCACATTCAATTATTTTAAGAAATAATAGAGATGTTTTATTTTAAAAATGCTTATAATATAGATCAAAATTATATGTATGTATTTTTCGAAAAAAATAAATCTCAAAATGTAGAGTTATATGGTTTTTATCTTGGAGATGACTCTACAGAATGATTCACTTATCATGAATCACCTAATTAATCGAAAAATAAAAAAATAATTTTATTTGTGTCTTTTAGTTCAATGTTTCTCTCAATTTTTCTATTATTGTTTTTTTTATGTTCATCTCATATACCTTTTAAGGGTGTATAAACTCTAATTAATTAAAAAGCATATAACAAGCTAATAATGGTTGATAATAATTTTTGAACCAGTATTTCGTTAGTTATTGACATATTTATACCTAGATGAGAGGAAGAGTACAGCTAGAAAATATTTAAAAAGTATAGTATAGTTATAAAAATAGCAATGCCCACTCTTCATCACCAATCATTACTTTAAATTGTTAATAACTTCTGAAATATTGGTCCAGTAGTTGTTATCAACCATTATTTATTAAATAAGCTAGTTAATTTGAGGTGTTACCATTTGAAAATTTAAAGTTGACACCCTTATAAAGTATAAGGGATGAACATAAAAAAAAATTATGATTAAAAATTGAAACAAACATTGAATTAAAAGAAACAAATAAAAAAATTATTAATATTGTTTTTATTTTTGATTAAATAAGTTAATCACTCTGTATATTTAAAAATAAATTTTAGTCAAAAATAGTAAATACAAAAGTTTTTGGTATAATTACTTCAAGTATAGATCGATCACTATTACGTTGAGTTTGTGTCTGAAGTTGCTGTTGCTGTTGCACTGTAATACCTTCAGCATGTTGATTGTTAACATTTAAAACTGTTCTAACATTAAATGGTTGAATAACAGATGGATGTTGTATTGGAAAAGGTTGTGATGATGTAGACACATTAATTTTATTAAATTGATCTTGAAGTCCAATTAAATTACTATTTGATACTATATTAGACATCATATTAGGAGAAGGAAGGTTTACGGGTGTAACTCCTGAATTTTGGACAAACTGAAGATCAGTATGACCATTTTGAACTAAATGGACCAATCCCGATGGATTTCTTGAAGATACAATACCCGGTGGAGGGCGTATTTCTTCATCAGTTGATTTTTGTCCTTGTTGTTGTAACAGTGGTCTTTGAAATAGGTTTTGAGAGTTTGCTAATGGCCCAACAGGCCATATTTGATTGGGATTAATGATTGGTTGGCGCAAAGATATAAATGTAGGAGGAGGTGGAGGAGGAGGTTGGGTAATAGATGGTATATAAACTGGAAATGGAAATATTGGTGAAGAGTATAAAGGTGGTGGTTGAGTAAATTGCAAGGGTGGAGGAGGGATAGCTGCATTAAATGTTGCTAAGGATTGTGGAATTTTAATGTAAGACTCTTGTTGATAACGCCTTGGTATAAACTCTGGTGCCAATGGGTTCAGAACATAAGTCTTTTTTAATTCAAGGTTATCAAGTAGATTTCGTAAATGCATCCAGGTAATACCATTAAGGCTATTATTTTCTTCACATATTTGAATGAACCGTTCCCAAACTTTTCTACACCGCCCAATGGAACAAAGAGCTACAGGATCACCAACAACAGCTACAAGACTTTGTGCTCGAGTTATAGCAGTGTTAAGCAATTTTGAATTTGATAGAAATCCATAGTCCATATCATCCATTCCTAGTTTGTTTAAACCATTGCTTGCTTTTTCACCACCACTAATATTATTTGACACACATGTTCTTCTTGTGCGCACAGTACTAAGAAATATCGCTCTAAATTGTTTACCTAAAACGTAAAGAATTTTTTAAAAATCGGATTTTACTATAAACTAATAAATTAAAAATACCCTGAACATTTAAAACTCTTTCAACAGAAATACCACCCATACGTCGTTTGCGTAATTCTGATCTTATCCTAAATACTTGATCTGAATATGGAGTCATTATACCAATGGAATGTTCATCAAATGATCCCCACGCTGTGGGCCAATTTTTTCTAAGTTCAGATACACGTTCAACAACTTCATACACTTCAGCATTATTATAAAACGCAGTTGAATTACTATCTTGGATGTCTTCCCCACGAGTGGTGAAAAAAGTCAAAGGGTATAAAGTGTCATGTTGAGGCTGGTTACCTTTACTTACTAATTTTTGTTCATAAAATAGCTCTGATGTAAACTAAAATTAAAATTAGTTCATAATAATAAAATTATAAATAGCTGTAGTTAATATTATTGTTAGGATATTTACATGTATTATAGCTTCATGTGCCCTGTAATTTTCACAAAGTAGTATTTTACAAGCAAATAATCCAGGATAATGGTCATATAATCTCTCCAAGAGAGATACATGCAAATTACGTTCTTTAGCAAACTTTGAAAATATTTCTGGACTTAGCTATAAATTTGAAAATTATTTTAATTGACAACTAATAATGAAGATTCACTAAAATTAAAAAATTACCTGCATGTGATCACCTGCTAAAACAATACGTGTATCTGTGTTAGCCAAAGCTAATGGCATTATTGCTTCACATTCCATTGCTTGTGCAGCTTCATCCAGAAGTATATGAGTAAAGTGTCCTAAAATAAACAAATATAAATCAATAAATTAAAAAATTAATAGATAAAAATAGAATTACATTATTATGAATACAATTGAAATAAATTATTACCTTTTTCCAAACCAACAGATGACAGAAACATTGAAATACTTAACGTAACTACTATCACACGATAATCTAAAATTTCCTTAAGATTTGGTAGTCTAAATGATCCATTTTGATCCAAAATACAGTACTACAAAATACAAGTATTATTATAAAGATAGAGTTTATACTTGTATCTTGGAACAAAAATATTTAATTTATTAAATAATTAAAACTAAAATGTAGCCAATACCTTTTGAACTGTACTGTGAACTGTAGATACCCATCGCTTGTGATAATATATTCTTAGAGGCTTAGCTTCTGTATGTCCTTCTTCAACATATGGATGCAAATAATCTTTTATATATAAATCTGCAGCACTATTTGAATGTGTGCACACCAAAATTCTAGTGTTATCTTGTAATAGTGTTTGCTTAATTGCTTGAGCTAAAGTATATGTTTTTCCTGTACCAAATGGACCTAAATTTCATTTATGATTTATAGCAAAAAAGTAAAAATAATAAAAAATTTATAAATATCAATAGTATACAAACCAATTATTAATATTGGGGGTAAATTAACATTTATTGGAGTCGTGATAGCAATAACAGCTTCTCTTTGTTTTACATTTAATTTTTTATCAATAATATCTACCCATTGACGTTTAGGACTCCATGGAATGATAGGTTCCAAAAAAGTGTCAGGGAATATTATTTTAAAATCAGCAATATGATCAATTGCATAATGCCATTCACAATAAGGTATTCTATTGAGCTGAAATTGTACATCAAATTTTATACTTGTGTCAGCTTTAAGACCAAGATTAGTAACTGTGTGAGCTGATAATCTAAGATATATAACATTTTTTCCTTTATCTTCAATCAGAGCTTCATGAACAGTACGCTTTTCATTGTTATTTAATAATTTAGAATCTATAAATACACAAAAATATAAAATTATAAATTATTACACATTAGAATAAACACAATCATGTTTACCTCTATATGGTGATAAATATACTGTAGCACAGTTATTTAAAATTAATCGACCAGCAGATGTGTCTTCAGACACATCAGTTCCAAGTTGTAACAAAGCAAAAAGTTCATTATTATGAGAATATTTAGCAGTGCTAGCTGCAACACCACTAGGAGATAGAAGATAACAACTAGCTAGCTGTAATTTTGCAGATAAATTATACCTTGCCACCTTAACAAATAATATGATTGATAAAAAAAAAAAAAAAAATTTAATGGAAATAAAAAATTGACATTTATTTACCTGTTCATAGCGAGCTAATTCTTCAACAAATAATAATTCATGTATTCGGGCTCTATAATTATTCCTAGTAAGTTTTTTTTCTGAAATAGTGGTATGTGTTAGAGAAAAGGTGGATGGACAAGGTGCTGGGTAACTTAATAACAATGTTTGTTCTCTATCTTTGTCTTCTTGAAATTGTACAGGACCAATTGAAGAACTGAATTCCACAATATTTGAATTAGATACATTCCAACGTTCCATTGATGATAACACTAACTCTCGGTGAATTTCTTTTACTTTGCCACAGTCTGTTACAGGAATTACATCAACACAAAGATGCTTCACTAAAACAGGCCCAAGACCAAAATCAAATACAACAGCCTGCCTAAAGGTACCATAAATATTTGTTGTAAAGTTGACTTTGATTTGATGTCTAAGTTTGGAAGACATTGATTGTGAGACAGGGTGTTGGGCCTGTGAGACCCATTCTTGATCATTTGGAGGCTCCATGTCAAAGGCTATTTGTTGCAATCCATTATCAACCAAAATATGTTTTAGTGAAAAATGGTTACGATATGTGTCTTGTAGTAATGCTACAGCTTGAAGTGGTGATATAGTTTCTAAAACAAATGTCCACTTACGACTACTTGTTTTTGATTCAACTGTGGTGACTAGATCACAATCATGTGTTTCAACAACACAATCCAAACTTTCTCTCATAATTTTTTCTGGATTTGTTGATTGCACCCATCTAATTAAATACAAAAATATTTGTAAATATTATGATTGAATAAATTATTAAGATATTGGAAGATAGATCATTATAACATAATTAAAATAGAATAAATTCTTTACAAAAACCATATAAAAAATTTTTTATTGAAAATTAAATCATAATATTATGTAATTTAACAATACAAACCTAAGATATTATTATTACTTATTATATATATATACAGAGTGATTCATTAATTATAAGACCTTCATTTTCTTGGAAACTATTGAAAATTTTTAATTTCTATTAAGGAAAATATTATTTGATTAAAAAACTATATAATAATTAACATAATAATATGTAATAAAAACTTCTTTTTTTTTATTCCAACAGAGACATAAAACTTAACTTACATTAGATTAAATTAATTGGAACCCCTATTTTTAATTTGATGAAATGATAGGAAATAAAATTACAAAACAATTTTGTTCTTTTTTTTTTATTATTCAATGACTAATTTGTTTGTTATTGTTTGATAAAGTTTGGCAATTTTTGACCAATTTTTTATTCATAATTTAAGTTTAACGTACATTAGTCATCAATTGATAGGTACAACTTGATATTATACATAATATAGAAATCTTTAATAATTAAAGTTTATTAATTGATATATACTTTTATATTTAACACAAGTTTACTATAGTACATTGTTGAAGGACCAATTTTATAAATTTTCTAGATAAATAATTTATAATTTATGGTCCATTTAAACAGTTTATTGTTTCTTCCGGTATAATGAAAATCAAATTAATGATAAATTTGTATTTTAAATCCAAATATTAAAACACAGAGTAGATAAAAAAATTACAATATAATACAAAAATGTCTTTTGTATGATATCAATAGAACACATATTATCTGCATTTCAACATTTTTGTAAGATTATTTCAAACATAACATTAGCTAGTACAAATTGTTATTAATTGACTTGAACATTTAGTAATTTATAGTTACCGAGGTTATATTTATTAAAGAATAAGGAGTTCCTTCCTAAAATATTTCTATGCTCCTATATAACCATACGACAAATTTGCCCAAAACTTGGGACCCTTCAAAAAGGCTTAGACAAAATTTATAAATAGATATAATTTCAAACTGACCCCAAGTAGTTAGGATTAAAGCGAAGAGGAAGAAGAAGAGATATAATTTCGAGCACTAGTTATCAATTACATAAGTTAAAATATCAACTAACCTTTCTAATAATTGTTCGGTATATGATTTTCCATATAATTTATTTTCACTAGCACGTTGTAATTTCATTTTTCTATACTCAAATCTTTCTTTCCATTCAGCTAACTCTTCTAAGCCATGAGCTTCTACACACTGAGCACCATATTTGCACGAGCCTTCTGCACCTTCACTTTCAGCAAATGCTTCGCACAAACTAAAATAAAATACAAAATATTAAATAAATTAGATAAAAAATAATTAAATAAATGATAATTCATACATACGTGTAACATTCAGATGAAAAACCTCGAGGTGGAGGTCTCCATTTCCAGTCTCGACCTTCATCTGACATGATTACTGTTTGATGACTTTCAGTTGCACAGTGAGCTCTCAATTGATTATCTAAATGAAATGATATCCCACAATATGTACAAGAATATCTCATATCTGTTTTTTTTGGAAATTTTAAATCTGTTGGCTTTTCTTCAAAAAAAAAAAAAAAAAAACACATTAATTTTTCAACACAATAATAGATCTTTATTTTAATATAAAATTATACATAATATCCTCTCTCTTATAATAATAGAAAAAAAATTATAATTATGATATAAAAAAAACAAAATTTAGTTATTTTTCAATAAAAAATATATTGAAGAATATTTATTCTTACTAATATGAAAAATATCATTAATAGTATAAGAAAAATTAGGTAAGATTACATCTAAATTTGAATTCATAAGAATATAATTTTTTGAATGCATAATATAGTTATTAAAAAATTTAAGTTCTAGAATTAATTAATTCTTTACAGAAGTTAATTTCATATCAACTATTTACAGAATAAGGATAAAAATGTTGTATATTAAATTAAGGAATTATAGAAATATATATATATTTTTTTATATCATAGTTTTATGTTATAACTTTTTAACTTAGTTAATTATATTAATTATTTTTTTAAATTTAACATACTTGATTCTTCGAATACTTTTGTAGATTTTGTATTATAAGTAGAAAAATCATAAGTATCACCATTATGGTTAAAAACACTGGGACATATTATACCAATTGCATGATCTAATACAACAATATTAAGTAAGTTATTTTGATGTTAAAAAGTATTAAACTACTTAAATACTTACCAGCACCATTGTATCTGTCATAAAGTCGAGTGTTACTATCAAAATTATGTACTCCTATACTTTCATTGTTCATGGTTTGACCAATCAATTTCTCATCATCCACTAGTTCAACTGGATGTTTTCTATTCCTTCTACTTTGCTCCCCAACACCGGTTGCAATCCAGGAATCTAGTCTATCACCAAATAATAAGTCTTCATTAATTTGATTTAATTGATCTTCTAATGGTTGTACTGAGGTTGTTATATTATCTTTAGACATGCTCCACACTAATCGAACCGTTTCTAACATTTTCTTAGCTTCACTATTGTTTTCTGATCGTATTATCCATTCTAAAGCTGCCTGTTCTGCTTCAGAATATCTTTTTAGAGAGTATAGCGCATTTACTAAGTTACGCCGAACACGAGAACTATAAGCATTATCTTCATTGGTTAACATTGATATAATATGCCGGGAATCATATACAACATCTTCAAACTTTTTTAATTCCAAACTGCACTGAGAACGTCCTAGTAGGTAACCAATAAGACGTTCGGATGGAAGGCTTTTCGCAATAGCATTTTGTAATAGTTGATCGAAACAGAGGAACGCATTGCTCCATTGTTTATGATTTAAGTATTCTATAGCTCTGTGTTCAACCTCCGAAAAATTGGTCTCCATGTATGAACGTAAGATTTTTGAAGTAAGAATTAACTACTAAACAACTTATGTGATCATAATTGTAAAACAATGGTTGTTCTACACTATACTTATTCATTTAATTCTTAACTCTACATTAAATTAGGCGTAAGAAAACATAAACAATAAAAAACTTTTTCTATTCCGGTTATCACATGAATTTTAAGTCTTATCATTAATTTTCTTTTTAATTTTATTATTATTGATATTTTGGAATCTCAGGAAACTGTTGACGGAGACTACCAATATGTCGTTACTAACTTTTATCCATATAATATTGCCGCCAACTTGTGGTTTTTACTTTCTTGTCAATAAAATTAACGTTAGGTAGTTTGATAAATCTTATTTTTTAAGTTAAAATAATATTATTTATATCGTTGAAATTATATAATTTATAATGCTTGATCTCGTGGGAAACTATAGTCAAGCGGAGTTTGACAGACTTCCTTTTAATTATGCGGACTTGTCATCTGTTTATCACTTAGCCAATATAAATTATAAAAGACAATTTGCACATATATATGCCCATAGACTGACAGAAGTTAGGGAAATTTTAACTGAAAAAGTACAGCAAAAATGGGGTAATATTATTTTTAATATTTTATATAATAGAGATAGTAATACTATTTGAAATTTTATATACCTAAGTTAGCTTAGTCTTTTATCATTTTAAATTAAATTTGATATAATTATAATATTTATAAAAATATTACCTTTTATTAAAATCTGTGAATTTTTCTTTCCAATTTTGTCTTCAATCACAAAAATAAATTTTTCATAGAAACCATTGATTGTACACCATGAAGAGCTGTCAGTGGTGGTTCTTAGGATGCTGCAGCACCACCCCACTTTTAAATTAGCATCTCTAGTCCTAATTTCTAGAAATTATATCAAAAAAAAATTTTTTTCTTTTATGGAGGATTTTTTTATTAGTAATAGACAATAAAAATAGCAAAGGAACAATTTGAAATTTATTTGTTATTATTTTGATTATCATAAATTAAATAATAAGGTAAAAGAAAAATGATGTTAATATAATAGTTTATTAGTTAAAAAAATTGGTATTTATATTTGTTAAATGGCTCTGGTAAGTAATTATTTAAAGAATATTGTTTGAGTTTATGAGTAACATTATTTCAGCACCTTCAGAATTTTCACTTTAGTTGCGTTTATATTAATTAGATAATGTTTTTAATTTTTAATTATATTATAATTTTAGGTAAAGAATGTACCATTTACAAACTTTCTGAATTATATGATAAAATAGATGAAGAATGCATTATAATTGGGACATTATTTAAGCATCAGGAATTAAAACCCAGTATACTAAAAGAAATAAGCGAAGAAGTAAAATCAAAATACTTAAAATCTTGAATATTTTAATATAATATTTTGTTTTATAGCACAATCTGATTCCACAACCTCAAAGAACTCACTTTGTGTCAGATAAAGATGAATTAATTATTGAAGATGAATTACAAAGAGTACCTTTGATATTAGAAAACTGCAATGATAGTATTTTAAGTATTAACAATATTATGACTGGATGTATTGTTGCCTTAAAAGGTATTCCTTTGGATGGAGGAAAGTTTAATGTTATTGAATGTTGTTGGCCTACACCATCTATACCTAATAAAATAACTGCTCAAAGTCTAGGAGAAGATCGGTTTGATAATATATCAATTAATTGTATATTTCTTAATATTAGGTATAATTATTTTAGGTTTTTAGTTTTGATAAGTGGCTTAGAACTGGCCACTAGTGTAGATTCCCATTTTCATGTACAGTTGTTTGTTGATTGGGTATCTGGTTTACTAGGCGACATACAGGAAAATGAAAAGGCTTCCAAGATAATTCAAGTTCTAATAGCTGGTAAACTAATACTACATTATTACTTGAAAACTACTCAAATTATATTAATTGAATCATTAGAATAGGTTTAACTCAAGTCTTCTCATTATGTATTTTGTAAAAATATTTTAACAGAAAAATATGTAATATCTTAAAATAAAAATTATGACTTGTACCATGATTTTTTGGTAAGAAGACATAAAATCCTTGATATTTCCTTTATGTTTAAATTATTAAATTATATCAAATCTCTTACCCTCAACTACTATCCCTTGACTCAATTCATGTCAAATATTTTTCATATTCTTGTCCAACATATTTTGTATTGTCTCATAAAACATCTTATGGTTATAACACTTCGTTAAACAGAATATTTGTGGAATGTAAAAAGTAAATTGATTTTTTTAAGCCAAACACTAAATTATTGTTATCATCTATTTATTTTCTTTTCCAATTTTCATCCCTAATTTATATTGTATGTATCTATTATTACTGTACTTTTAACCATTTAGTATAAAATAATAAATACACAAGAAAACATTATCAAAAATTATTGTTTGTAATTTTAGGCAATAGTATCAGAAATACACCTATGAAAAAACCTAATTATAGAGATAAAATAGATGATTTCCCCAAAGATATTCAAGCGATCAAGCAGCTCGATGAAATCCTACAACAACTTGCTGTAAGAATATGTGCTTTTAAAATTGAACCCTTTTTCTAATGTATGAATGTTTTTTTTCTATTAACTATTTTTATTATTGCAGTCTACTGTTGATGTACAAATAATGCCTGGAGAGTATGATCCTACTGATAGAATTTTACCTCAGCAAGCTTTCCATAAATGTCTATTTCCTAAAGTATGTAATTTTTATTATTTATAACACTACTTAATCAGAATAAATATATTTTCCATAACAGACTTCTGAGTACTCAAACTTTCATAGAGTGACAAATCCAAATAAGTTTGAACTTGAAGGTAATCTTATTATGGGATCTTCAGGGCAAACTGTTCAAGACATTCAAAGGTTTTCTAATTTAGTTGACCCTATTGAAATATTAGAAAAAATATTGGAATGGGGTCATCAAATACCCTCCGCTCCAGACACACTTCGTAATTACTTAAAATTTTGATTTATTATTTATTTTGTAACCATAAAACATATTTTCAGCATGTTATCCATTTGAAGGACAAGATCCATTTATAATTAGAGAAATGCCAAATGTATTTTTTGTTTCAAATCAGCAATCTTTTCAGACATTACTTAAAGATAATAATGGCAAGTATTTTATGCTATAATCTTATAAAAAAAAATAATAATTTAATATTTTTAGATGTAACTACAAGGCTTATCAGCATACCTTCATTTGCAGCCACTCAAACCTGTGTATTGTTAAATTTAAATACATTAGATTGCTACCCAATATCATTCAAAACATTTTCACCATAAAATTTTTTTTTATTTGTTAACAAAATAGTAAAACAGTAATTATTTGTTTCCTTTACTTGCACTTGAAACAGATTTTACTTCTTCAGCTGTAAATATATTCAAATGTACCAATGCAGCCAACAACTGGTCATGTGAGTTTCCAATGAATTTATGGTTTAAAAACAAAGGAAATCCACGATATTTATCACCCATAGTATATAAAGGAACTCTTACAGTACCAAGTACCTGTTAAATATTTAATTATATTAAATTTTTTTATAGCAATGATTATTTTTATACTTGTATATTATTAATAAAAACTTCTCTTACTTCATTTCCATAATCTTTTGCTAATAATGCCCTCTTTTCAATTTCAAGAAGTTCAGTTATGGAGACTTTAAGTTTATAAAAATGAACTACTAGTTTTCTTTCTTTACTCCAATGGGATATAATGTGATCATTGTTTTTCACCTCATGCTTAGATATATCTAAATTCATTTCTTCTTTTAATTCTCGGTTGACAGCAGTTACATTATCTTCACCAGCATCAATTAGTCCACCAGGAAAACCAAAATATCCATCATAACGCAGTTGCATCTGAAATAAATTGAACTTATGTCATAATTTTTTTTATGCTAATTTGTTTTTAAAAGCCATACATTTTAATAAGTCTAAATTATAGTTAAATAAATTTTTTTTTTTTCTTAATAGACTTGGAAAATTTTTTATAAGTTTTGTGTTTAAAATTGTACAACAATTTTAAATAAGCTTAAAAATATGACATTTTATAGTTTATACATAATAAAAACATACATACTCATATAAATAGGTTATCTTTAATATGTTTTACATAAAAAAAAAAAATATTTACTTTAAATATACAGTAAATAAAACATTTTATTCAAACACCATTTTTTAAAGTATACATTAGCTAAAAAATTATAATGAAAATGATGATAAAGTACTTGCATTTAATGCAACAGTTCTTATATAAAACTATATGTTAACTAAAATGAATATTAAAATACTAGTGTACAGATATTGTTTTCTTATTAATAAAAGTTAGAAATTACTAAAATGACAAAACCATATAAATATTGCTTGATAACAAGTTAACATAAATTATATAGTTAAGAATAATACTAGTGTTGTAAATTTTATAATTGTGTGCTCACAATTATGATAAATTGATAATTTATCATACAATTTGATAAATATTAATATTTAAAAAAGCTAGAATGTTTCCAATAAACATTATTATGAACAATGTATATACGACTTAAAAATACAGCTTCAATCAGTATATATATATTACATAGGTAGCCTAATTAGCTCAGTCAGGAAAGTATTGCAACTCAGCATGTGTGCACCAAGATTTGACTCCTTAGTACTGGGCTGTGTAAATTTTCCCCTCCTCTCTAGCATAAATAATAGCTTTTAAAAATAGATTAATAAAATAGCAATTATGAATTACTCAATATCTTGTTAATTTACAAGTCAATAACAAGAATTAAAAGAAATTCATAAGTAGTAATGAATTCATGCAATACATTATATACATTTTAGTTATTATATATAATAACTAAATTTTGCTACCTTACATTAGTCCATAATTTACTCGTAATTCATGCCTATATTCTTAAATTTATCACCATTTTGTATTTTTCACACAAAAAACTAGGAACCTTCCTTTTTTTCTTATAAAATAAACCAATATTTGCAGGTAAAAGAATTTCTTTAGTTAGATTTTTAATGAATTATTGCTCATAATTTCATTCTCAAATTATACAATATTCAGATAATACACTAGATATTTCATTCTAATATTTAATGGGGATCTTACATTTAGAAAATCCTAAAATTGTAATTTTTTTTTTTATTCAGGCTTATAATACTGCCAGAGAATATTAAAAAAAAATCTCATTAAATAAAATTAAAAGTATTTGCAAACTAATTGTCATAAACATAAGTTTACAAAAGAATCTAATGAATATTCAATTCTATGGTTCAACATATTAACATTATAATCTTCAATATTAAAAATTATTATGAAATAATAACATTTATTAGTTGTAAAAAATTGTGTGTAGTTTAAAGTTAAAATGGTCATGGAAAAGTATTTTTGTAGTTTTTAGAACATCATTTAATAAGACTAAATAATCTATTATTTTACTTGGCTTAAAAACCTTCAAAAAATTTAATTATTTCTAAGTAATAATAATACTTACAAGTATTGATGCACGAATTTTATAAATTCCAAACAACATTTCATCATTTTCAGCATATATCATACAGTGGGCAGCATTCGTCAAACTCTTATACTCAGCTTTATTTATTTCTTGTTCAGACAATGGGATAAATTCATTAAATTCCGTTTCTCTTCCGAATTCTTCAGTACTTAGCAGCCATCCCCATGTACAATCACCTGTTCTAGTAGACATTATCACTAAAAAAAATGGTTAAGCTGTGGTTAGTTACATAAATTAATTTTATTTTAATACAAATAATTATTAAATTTAACATAAAGTTATCTTATCAAAAAAATTATATCTTATGTATTGTGAACCAATACAACTACAATTAAAGATAAGCCAAAAAAATTCTAAGAATATTGATACCTATTATTATTTACTCAACTTTTTTTTAAAAAAAATTACAATAAAATTAAAAATTCATTAATATTACATAAAATTGTACATATATATATATATATATATATATATGTACAATTTTTTTTAAACATATAGACTATAACTAAGTCTTCATTATTAAAAAAATTGATTAATCAAGTTAAATATTGAATAATTATATAAATTAAAAACTATAACATACTTAAATCTTTATTTGATGTTGAAGGTATTGCAAAACAGTTTTCGGGAGGTCCTGTGTAATCTAAAATCATAATTTTTTTTACTTAATGCCATTTTTTTTTTATTTAAAAAATTAAAATTTTTAATATAAATTTTATTTTCTTAGAGATTCAACTTATATAATATATTTATAGTCCAAATTTTATTTTGTGATTAGTAAATAAATATTATAATTCATTGAATAATACCAGAAATTATGATTATTACCATAGATAACAAATAGGATATAGTATAATGAGTAGGGTCATATTAAGACATATATTGTAGGGCAGAGCCCTTCAATGAAAAATACCACTACTATAAAAGTGATGAGAAAAAATTGTATGTCACTAATCATAATAGACCACCAAAATGTTCGATAAACTCTGTGCGTTTACTCTCTTTAATCAGGCATTCTTAATGTGATTAACTTTAGTTAGTAAAAGTATGATCTATTTAATTTTTTTATGTCTCAACAAGGTGTAAATGTTTCACTTAATAAAACTACATTTTTTTTCTAATGAAAAGGTCCACAAATTTAATAAAAAAACTGTTTATAATACCAATTAAATTTAAAGAAGGAATGGCATTCAATTTTAGTTGATGATTTTCTTCTTCAAAGCACTTTTCATCAAAATGTTTTTTGCATATAGTTAAAGTTGTGTATATTCCTTCATCATAAATAGTACTTAGTCCAACTCTTTGTATCCATATATATAATAGTTCTTTATTCTTAGAGGGAAAATGATAGAGTGGAAATTCTTTTGATGTTTTACAATTAGGCACAAAGCAAATAGGTTGGCATTTTTCGCTATAGGAAAAAAATATACATTTTAAATATATAAATATTTTTTTAATAAGTCAGTTAAAGTCCCATTTAGTCAAATATTTTTTGATTCTTAAATAATTAGTTTTTATTTAATTTTTGAAAATTAATTTAAAAAGTGTTAAGTTTATATTATTAAGCTAAAATATTAAATTTCTCTTTTTGTGCAAAACATTACTTATTTTAAGTGGGATATGCTAATTATATATTTGAATATTGAACTAAAAAATGCGCACTACTTTCACACATGCTTACTTCGATTTTTCTACATCTTTATCAATAAGAATTTTTTGGTCATTTTCCCAAGTTAAATTATATTGTTCAAAAATATTTTGGACCAACAAGCTTTCTTCTTCATTCATATTTAAGTAATAAAATAAAATATATATTTTATTATTGTTGTAAAAATTGTTCACCTATAAAAATGTTTTATTTTCAAATTAATTAATATTTGAATATTTCCAATTTTATCAATGAGTAAAATCCTATATCAATTATTATTAGTGACTGATGATTACAATTAGTTCTTCAATAACTAAAGAGAAATGTTATGAGCTTGTTTATGAAAAGAGGAAAACGCATTTTCTTACTTACAAATACATCTTTGAAAAACTACTCCCCCAAGGAAAAAATTGTAGACATTTTTTATCTACTTTTGGCTATAATATTCAAAACAAATATTATAAATTATGATATAATTATATATATATATTTTTTTGAAGATTACTTCAAAATTAATTAATAATAGTAGTGATGATATAATACATTTTTAAAATAAATTAACAATTATAAAATTTCATACTTGAATATATTAATAATCAAATGGTCAATAGAATTAAAATGAAATTTCGCTTATAAAATTATTTTATTAGATAGTAATATAATATAATTTGCTATTCCTAAAATGGACACGTGTTGAACTTGCATCGAATAAAAGCAAAACAAAATGTCAATAATAACAAAATAGATCTATTTAATCGTGGTCTCAATTACTCATTATTCAGATATACACTTACTTCAGTAGTATCATTGGTATATGATAATCAGTTATCTATACTTCTATTTTAAAAATTATTTTTTTTTATAAACACGTTTTTACTATATGTCATTATTTCAAAAAATGTATTATTAGCCGTAAACAATGAAATAAAGAATAAATAAGTTAAACTGAAACTTAATAACTATATTTATAAAGTATAACAATAATTTTATATAACCGTCTTCATAATATTATGAAATTATTGTTGAGTAATTACTTAACATTCAAGTTGTGGATACTGAACATAAGTGAGAATAGAATTAGAAAAATTTTGGAAGAATAAGTAAACGAATAATTTTCTGATAGCATGAGGAATTTTTTTAAGTTAATCTAACTTTAAATTCTATACTTTTAACCAAACTATTAAAATTTCTTACACTTTGATTTTTATCATAAGTACTAATGTTATTTAAATTGGATAGTTATTGATACTCTTAAAATCAAATAAAGTATTTTTTATAACCATAGAAAAACGAAAAATTTGGAGTAAATATATGGATAGTCTGATTAATATTATAATCATAAAAAACGTACTAATAACTTTACAATTTACCCTATTTAATTTCTATTACTTGATTCTATCAAATATTTCATTAATATTAAAATGAGATTTTTTAAAACTTTACAAAAAAGTTATTTTATGGTTTGAAAGGTGTAAGGCATAAACTCATTTGTTATTTAGAGGATTAGTATACAGAATGATTTTTTAAATAGTAGCCACTAGATCTCTTAAAATAACAATTATATTAAGAAAATTATTTTCAGAAATTTTTAGTTTTATATATTATTTGATTTATCAGTTATTCTGCCTATATTCAATTAAATAAAATAAAACAAAATACATTATGTGAAGGTTTGTATTTTTAAATTGTAACTTAACATTAGGGATAAAATAAAAAATGAATTAAACTATCAAAATCAAATGTATTTCACCAATTATCGAAATAATTTTATTGATTATTAAATATGTAATTCATACATTTATATAATATATATATATATAGAAATACAATATAATTGTATATAATGTATACATTATTCAAGTTATATGTATAAAGCAAGACACTTACTCATACATATAAATCATTATTTGTTCTATTTATTGTTTTAAGTAGAATTGTATTTACTATAAAAACAGAAAAATAATTTTAATTAACGGTGCAATTAACTGTTCTTGATGCAAATATTAACCTTATAAAAAACAGTAAATTTAAATCTTAAAAATATTTAAAAAATTAAAGTTTAATTAAGAAAAAAACATAAAATATTGATTTAATTAAGTGATTTTAGTAATTGACTAATATTTTCTTGATATTCATCCTTTTTCTTCTTTAAAGCACTAGCAACATCAACATATTGGATTCTTCCTACTTTACCTGGGATAAGCTTCTCAACATAAAGATACTGAATTTGATAAAATACATCTTTTAAATTTTTTTCAACTTTATGCACTTCATTGAGTTTATCTGATAATTCTGATGATTCAGATTTTATTTTTGTAGTTAACTCATTAATGCTATTAGACTCATTTTTATAATCAGTTTGAATTTGTTTAACAGCTGTATTAAATGCATTTAAATCTTTAGAATGTTTTAACTTATTTAAATTGTCATCCCAAGATGCATAAATAGAAGTTCTTCTTTCTATATGATGTATTAATGCACTGACTAGACCAGATACACGTTGCCGAGTTTCACTGTGTTCATCTTTAGCAATTGAAAAATCTAGACGAACCCAAATTATCACAGTTAAAAATAAAATGAAAATGGCTCCTTTGAATATTAATGGTGCGTGCAACATGAATCCTTTTGGGAATTTATATTTAATTTCAAAATCTTTGATGTGATTTTCAACAATATTTGAAATTTGCAATTTTAAAGTAGGCCTTCCCATTGTATCAAAATATGTATAATGGTGATCATCTGGCAAACGTGTTATTGGATAAGGTGTTTGTAGTTCAATATCAGAAGATTTCTCAGGAAGTATAATATGTATTGTAGCCTCTTCAATTATCATATTATCGTATAAGTGATCTATTAAACGCATCTTTAAAAGATAATTATCACCACTATTGTATAGATATTCATAAGCTGGAACATTATACCCAATAGTATAATGAGTTTTCCATCCACCAAAAAGAGGAAATCTTGGACGAATGTCCAATTCAACAGAATCTAATAGTGTTCTTTGATTTGAAGTAGAGATGTTACCAATAACATCACGGTAATAAACACTATTAGCTGAGGCTGGAAGATACATTTTGAATGATTTTACACTAGATAGACCACTATTAGTTTCACGTTGGTAATCATAACGAGAGAAAGAACCTTTTAATTTAGCACCATGATGAACAATATCTATAACTTCAGTAACAGCAATATTGCCCCAATGTGATACTTGAATGGTTCTGGTTAATTTAGTTACTTTCAAAAATGGACTGTTGTTATCATAATGTATATTTATTTGAGAATATGAAAAGGGTTCTAAAGGACCTTGAGGACCATAAGTAATATCTCCAGCATTTTGTGAAACAGGACTTAAATTTGTGTATTCTTCCAAACGTCTAGTTCCTGTTTGATATTTTATTGAAGATTTCATACTTTTATAAGGAGAATAAAAGAATGCATTACCATAATACATCATTAGCTGTCTTTCTTTTTGAATTATTTCCTCAGGATAAGGATGTAATGCATTAGTTAATACATATTCAACAACAATTGGAGTTCGTCCTTTAGACTTAAGTGGTCTAGTAGTATTAAAATCAATTTGAAAAAATTGTTTATCATTATGACCAGTAACTATAACAGGTTTGACATTCAATCCCAAACGATTTGATTCAACAACTTGATGAGCAGATATATAGGATATATAAATTTTAAAAGAAGGCTCGAATGCATACAATATGTAATCAACAGATTTTTCATCATTATTTTCCAAGGATATACGGCATTCACCTTTTACCAATTGGCTACTAAGATCTACTAAACATTCTACATTGCTTAACAATATTTTTGGGTTTATGTCAATGGAATAAGTTGAGGTTATAGCAAATGCTATCAAGAGTATTTGAAAAAAGATCATTGTTTTACAAACCTGAGGCCCAATATTCCAATTGAATTAGTTGAATTTTCTTTTTCAAAAATGGATAATTACCTGAAACATTAAAAAAGCAGCCAAGTTGATAAAATGTGAATATATATTTTTACAAATTTTATAGTACAAGTAAAGTATATTATATGAAAATCATTTTTTAATTTTTTTGAGTTCCTTCATGTTTTTGAGTTTTATCTTTGATTGTATACTTGGCAAACGTTTTTAATGGATCAAATGGTTCCCACCGGCTAGCTGGAAAAATATGTTTATTTCTTTCATACCAACTTCTAAGTAAAACTTTTCCAGCATGAGAGTCTTCTTTTTCTAAACTAGCATCACTCATCATTCTGACATCATCATGAACACCAAATGTAAATAAAGGACCGCTTTTACCCCGAGCCTTTGCAACAATGAAATCATAAAAAGAATAATGTTGGGGTAATATAAGATCTTCTTTAACATACATTAATTGATCTGCCATTACAGTTTTTAACTCTCCAAACTCACGTCGTAAATTTTCTAATGCCTTTTGTAAAAATTGATAAATTGTATTACCCTTCTTCATAACAATTGTACGCCTATGACCTGAACCATCCCAATAGCTAAAAGTTATACTAATTTCTTCTTCCTTTAAAAATTTTTGTTTATCAGACCATTCTTGTCTCAATTTTTCACGCAAACAATTTTCTTCATTTTCCCTAGCTCTATCAGGTAAAAAACTAGTGTCTACATCTGGATTTTTCTTAATTTTTTTTGTCAATGGTTGTGAAGTTGAAGGTTCATCTATTTCTTCAGTTTCTTTTTCACTTTCATCATCATCTTCTTCCTTAATATCTTCAATAAATGATAAAGCTTGGATCTTTTGTTTTTGACGTCTTTTTTCTTCTAATTTTGCTTCTAACTGACGTTGTTTTTCAAATTCTACTTCTTTTTCTTTTTGAACTAATCTTTTTGCTCTTTCTTGAACAATTGTCTCTTGTTTAGCTTTCATTTCGTCAAGTGTAACCAAACCAATTGTAGAACTTTTAAGCTGTGCTTCCACTGCATCATAATGCTTAGCAAATTTATTTTCAATGTTTGAAAGTTTCATATCTTCTTCAATTTTTTTCTTACGTAATTCTACTTCAGCTTGAGCTAGTTCACGTTTTTTCATCAATTGCATGGCGCGACCAGCTTCGCTGGCAGCACCTTTATAATGTGCCATAATAGTATTACCTCCTAACTATTTTATTTAAACTCCAACTTATAATTGACTACACAAAATAGGATTCGAAAAAAATCGTTTTACTTACATGCAGATAGATTGGTGTCTGAAAGTAGTTTCAATAATTTTAAACATAATTCAGAGTTTTAACTTATTAAAATAATAGCCAACAGATTCTGAGGTTCGATCGACTTCTTCTAGGATACGGTTAACGTGATCACACTCAAAACTAACTAAGAATTCACGGCAAACGCCGACTCGCCGAAAACGTCATACGATTTACAAATCTTTAACCATTACCACGGTTAATAATTGAAGTTACAGACGAAATCATTTAAAAAAATAATAATAACCACATGTTTGGGCTCACTTAAAATTACGCAACATATTGTTTTGATTGAACGAAACGATACTAATTATCTATTTACACCTCTGCCTTTTAAGTATTCTTTAAATGATTTATTATTGTGATTCAATAATATTGTGTTTTATCTTTTAGAAAATAATTCTTAATTTAAGAACATAAAATCACTATGGATACATTATTTGGTGTGGCATTAAACCCTTTTTCAACCCCTGTTGGAGAAAAAATTGGTAAAATTATATTTAAAAATTTTTATTTTACCATATTGATTATGACTTAATTATTTACGTATATTTCTTACATATTCAATTATGATGAGTCATCTTAATTAAAATTGTATCTTAATATTTTTTTAAATTATATAAGAATATAAAGATAAATATTATTTCTTATTATACACAAATTTAGAGAAAATTAATAGCCAATTAGTTAAAATTCCAATAAAAAAATTTGAAACAATTAAAATTGTAATATAACTAATTTGGGGTAACATATTGATGGTTCTGACATCAGCTGATTAATCACGTATATTTTTAGATTGATTTTGTAAAAATAAAAAAATTAGTACACTATTTCTTATTTACCTGTTATTTTTAAAGGATTAGCTACAGATGGTGGGTTAGCTTCAGAAAATTGGTCCTTGAATATGGAAATATGTGATATGATTAATGAAACTGAAGATGGCCCGAAAGATGCAGTTAAAGCTATACGTAAAAGGTTGTTACAAAATGCAGGAAAAAATCATAAAATCATAATGTATACTTTAACGGTAATATTTTATTTCAATGTTTTCTATACATTTTTTTTCATAAAAAATATTTTAGGTTTTAGAAACATGTGTTAAAAATTGTGGTAAAAGATTCCATGTTCTTGTTTGTAGTAAAGAATTTACTCAGGAACTAATTAAATTAATTGGTATGCTTATAATAATATAGAAATTTATTTTAAGTGTTAATTATTTTTTAATATTTAAAATATATTGTTACTTAGGACCTAAAAATGATCCTCCTTCTATTGTACAAGAAAAAGTTTTAAGTCTTATTCAAAGTTGGGCTGATGCATTCCGATATCAACCAGACCTTCAAGGAGTTTACCAAGTTTACCGAGATCTAAAACAGAGAGGAATAGAATTTCCTATGACTAATCTTGATACCATGGCCCCTATTCATACACCTCAAAAAGTAAATCCTATTTGAATATACTTATTTTTAATTATTAGTCTAGTCTTGCTTAAAAGTCTAATTATGTAAATATCTGTTGAGTAGAGTTATTCTGAGGAACCAAGAACACCAACATACTTGCATCACATTGAAGAGTCTGATAATCAATCACTTAGACCAGAACAGTTGTATAAATTAAATGCTGATTTAGAATTAGTACGTGGAAATATGACTGTTTTGAATGAAATGCTGACAGAACTAGTACCTGGAAAAGAAGATGTCTCTGATGTCCAATTATTAACTGTAAGTAGTATTGTTAAAGTATTTGAATACTTGTATTGTAAATACAAGTATTTGAATAGTTGTATTATAAATACTTTTTAGTAGTATTTGTATTTGAAATACTAAATACTTTTCATTTTTGATTGCATTACTTTTTGTATTTCATAATTATTGATAAAAACAAGAATATCAATAAATTTTAGTACTCAAAAGTATTTTTAATTTGAACTCGACATTTTTGTTATTGAAGTAGGCATAGATTATGGAAAAACTTTAAGGGAACAGTTTCAATATTTCTGATAATGGGATATTTTTTTTTAGTTAATAACTCTTTAAAAATAGCAATTTTAATGATGTTATTGTTCTATACCCTACTTGTATACTTACTCACATTAAAGTCAAATGAATATAACTTACTCAAGAAAATCTGTTATAGGTTTATATTTTCAATGACTATTTTAATGTTTAAATAATTCAATTATTTCATAAGTATAAACATTATCACACATTTAAGGGAATTTGATAATAAATATTATTTTAAAAAGAAGATAATTGTAATAATATCAAGGTAAACTCCCTCTTTATGTTAGTGATTTTCACCAATTAACTCTAAAAACTTAATAAAAATAAAAGTATTTAAATACATATTCTTAATAGTTTTTGCTTGATGTATTCAAATATATATTTCAAATATATTCTTATCCTTATATTCTTAACACGAATGACTGTGAATAATTATAATGTATTAAGTACTTAAGTAACTTTATTTTTTATTGTTCCTTTAACATAATAAATTTATAACAACACACAAATATAGTTATTTTTAATTATAAACAAATTAACTGTTCAACGATTTATAATTTATCCTTTATACAAATTAATAATAAATAATTAATATTTTTAGTTATTTTAGTTACTTTTACATGATTATTATTTTAAATTATTATTAATTTAAGGATCTATACTCAACATGTAAAGCTATGCAAGAACGAATTGTAGAACTTCTCTCAAAATTATCTGATGGAGAATTAACAGAACAGTTGTTATTGGTTAATGATGATCTAAACAATCTGTTTCTAAGGTTTGTCATACATTTTTTATATTAGTTACATTTTTATTTAATATAGAATAACTATTTTCTACAACTTATACAAAAATTTTAGGTATAGTAGGTATGAAAAAAATAGAGAAGCGGGTTGTTCTAACACAGTTGATAATCCTTTAATTAAAACTACAGATTTAATTCAAGATTTTGTTGACCACCCTATTACTACTGCATCAAATGAATTTTCAAAACTTAGTAAGTATATACTTTGATATTATAAACTAGGTTTTGGCGCGTAAGCCTCTTTGGGCCATCATCATAAGTAGGCCATTGATTCCAGTAGGGGTAACCAGCTATGCCGGGCACGATAAGTGTTTTGCAGAAAAAATATTACATCAGAATCAACGTAACAAAAATATATTAAAAATGTTATTATTAAAATTAGGAAAATTCAAAAAGAGAATATAGTAAAACATATTGGGTATAAGGTTGACGTTTGTTAATAAGGTATTCCCTTTAGGCCTATTCAAAAATTATTTTAGGAGGATATTTAATTTTTATTTACTTTGTTAAACATGTTATAGAATTTTTTTTGCTAAAAATCAAAGTAATGATGAAAAATAAGGACATTAGGTCCTTATTTATTAGAAGTTGCCTAAAAAAATATTGATAGCGCTGGTTCAAGGGACCTTCCTTAAATACACCCCTGGTATACGTAAAAATTATTAATATTCTAATTATAATAATTGTGTTTATATTATAGAATAATTACAAAATTATTCAGCAGGTTATTATATGTGGGACTATATAAAAAATTTAATTTTGATAAAAATATTCGTAATTGCGATTTAATGTTGGACAGCATAGTTGAATATATATATAAAATATAGTACTATGTGCAAATGCATAATAGTGTCCTATTAAAAATACATATTACACCATATAATTAAGGTTCAGAATAAACATATGAGCAGAAATGAGTGCGCATATTAAAACCATACGCGTGGACTTAAAAAAAAAAAAAAAAGCTCGTAAAAATGAACGGATTAAATTGATTTTGTTATCATATCTCAGGAATGTCATTGGGAGGGCCTGATGAAAATTTCAAACCTTAAGTCTTAAAACGATGGCATCAGCGAGCGTTTTTCTCGAAAACGGTCAAAATTTTAAAACGCTTGTGAGCGAGCGGCAAAAATTTTCCCGGAGTCTGGTGACCGAGTAATTTTGTGAAAAAAATAATTTAAAAAATCCGAGCACGCTAAGTATTTTTTCCAGAAAATGTTATTTTCCTTGTTCTATTATATAATAAGATTATCACTTTATAATCAAACATATTTATATTAATTATTTAGTACAAAAATGTAAATACTATATAAAAAATATCTAAAATAGTATTCCTTAGTTTTCATAGTGATTAAAAATACAATTTTTAGTTCATTTTACAAAAAAAATAACATTCACTTTTGAAATAAAGTTTTTATAATTTATAAATTATAAATAAAACTGTATTATTAATAGAGTATTAATATAGGTATTGGCAATGAAACGTCAAAACCAAAATTATCAGCTGATTTACTAACTAGTATTCAATCTGACTTTGATATGTTTGCACAATCACGATCTATTTCATATGAAAACACAAGAACTGGGTAACGTAAACTTTATTTTTGTTGGCTTTCATCTTCATGCATTTGATAGACTTATTTTGTTTAATACTAATAATTACAAAAAAAAACATTTTTTTTAAATGAATGCTTTGAAAAATATATCCAACTATTTACACCTCATTATAATATATGTTGCTTTATTTTTAAGGCTGAATCAATTATAAATTTTAGCTTATATATGAGTTTTATAAAGACCAGTTTTTTTTATCTAATATTACAAAAAAAATGTATATCAATAATATAATTGAATACTCCTACAGATTATTTTTATAACATTTAAAAATTGTTTTAGTTTTCTTGAAATTAAATCAACAAATTATGTATTAATGTATATTTATATTTATTTTTAAAAAATTATTATTATTTAAAAAAAAAACAATTGACAAATTTGTTTTATCTTAGTTGTTTTTTTAATATAAATTGTGATTGGGTCATTCCATGTGAAATCACCTAATGTGTGTGCTGGTATAGTTCAGAAATTTATGAAATTTATATCATAGACTTCTTAAAGGTCATTGACAACAAAAATAATATTTTTTTTTTTTTATTATTGTTTTTTTACCAGATAGTGCATTTTTTATAATTAAAAACATGTAAAAACAGCCTATGTTCTAGAGCCTATAACTTCACATCCAAATAAGCTATCACTGTGGAACTAGCACTGTTTTACTCATATTAAATAGTACTTCAATTTCATTCTTAAGTTTATAAATTTTGAATTTTTTTGAACATCGAAATTTTGATTTAAATTTTGCAATATTTTAATAGCAAAATTTTGAAGGACAAAAAATTTTTTAATTAAAATTTTTTTTTTCTTTTCAGAAACTTTTAGTAATGTTCTTTTAACCCATATCATATTTGAATCGATTTATAATTTTTTTTGTATCGTTTTACGGTCTTGAACATGCAAGGTTTGCTGAAAATAGCCAACTTTATCATCTCATTACACAAAAGTGACTGAACGAATTTTTTTCAAATTTACATAGTACTTTCCTTTAGGCAATTAAAACGTCTGGTGAAAATTTTATGATGGAGAAATAATTTTAACTTAATATTGTCGAAGAATCAACAATATCTATTGATGTAATTAACTTTATGAAGAAAAGTAATAGAGCTTTTCCAAACTTAGCCATTGCTCCTAGGAATTTTTTACGAGTCCCAATAACTTAATATACTACAGAACGCAGAATAAATACAAGAAATTAAAATTGAGTGTTGAAAATTATGTTGTTTATGGATTTTCCATAATACGCAAATTGTAAATTTTGTAAATTCTATAAGTAGCGTTAAAATTATTTCTCCATCATAAAATTTTCACCAGACGTTTTAATTGCCTAAAGGAAAGTACTATGTAAATTTGAAAAAAATCTGTTCAGTCACTTTTGTGTAATGAGATGATAAAGTTGGCTATTTTCAGCAAACCTTGCATGTTCAAGACCGTAAAACGATACAAAAAAAATTATAAATCGATTCAAATATGATATGGGTTAAAAGAACATTACTAAAAGTTTCTGAAAAGAAAAAATAAATTTTAATTAAAAAATTTTTTGTCCTTCAAAATTTTGCTATTAAAATATTGCAAAATTTAAATCAAAATTTCGATGTTCAAAAAAATTCAAAATTTATAAACTTAAGAATGAAATTGAAGTACTATTTAATATGAGTAAAACAGTGCTAGTTCCACAGTGATAGCTTATTTGGATGTGAAGTTATAGGCTCTAGAACATAAGCTGTTTTTAATTATAAAAAATGCTCTATCTGGTAAAAAAACAATAATAAAAAAAAAAAATATTATTTTTGTTGTCAATGACCTTTAAGAAGTCTATGATATAAATTTCATAAATTTCTGAACTATACCAGCACACACATTAGGTGATTTCACATGGAATGACCCATTTATCAAAATTCTGAACATTAAATATTTTAACATACAATTAAAATATTAAAGCCATAAATGCAATTTTTTTATTGGTCTATATATATACAGGATAATTTTTAAGTGAAACTTCTGTACAGATGTCCAAAAAAGAAAAAGATTATCGTACATCATGGTTGGCTGTAATGCTTAGCTATCACAGTTGGATTTTATTGTTTTTTTAGGTATACGGTCAAAATTATATTGTTCTATTGTATGTTTATCAAATAATAAAATTTTGACCGTATACCTAATAAAACAATAGAATCCATTCATTGCCAAAGAGATGGTTGGTGAAAGCCAAACTTGTTGGTTTACCGTGTTGTATGATGATCATATCAAACGGATTCTATTGTTTGATAAACGTATAAGTTCAATAAAAGTATTGATAAATGTGTGTGTTCGATAAACGTTTATGTTCCAGGATTGTTTAATATTAAACTATTTATTTTTAATTAAAATTTTACTTTTAAGTATCAATAATTTATTACTAATACATATAAATTTATAACTTTTTTTTAATTCACTTGATATTAATTTAAAAAATAAACTGCATTTTTGATTTCATATTAAATAATCATATTTTACCTAATCAAACCTACCCCTTGCCTTTAGTGAACAATTAAAAATGTTAGTAACTTCCGAAATACTAGTTCAAAATATTGATCAGTAATTTTTTTAATTAGATAATTTTATATATTGTAAGTTAAATATGTATATTGTTATTAAAAACAATAAAGTTGAAACCCTCACAAGGTATAAGGATGTATTAAAAATAAAAAAATTTAATAATTAATAAATAAAAAAAAAAAATGATACTAAAAAATTAAATAAAGATTTTGTTAACATAATTATTATTTTAAAAGAAATTGAGTGGCTAGTATTAAAAAAATCCTCTGTATATATACATATTTTGGAACCCTCCCAGAAAATATACTAGATACAGTCCTGTTACATAGTTCAAAAAATAACTGGATAAAATTGTTTGAATTAAATTTTTTTTTGTCGATACATTCCTCTGATTCTACACAGTTATAATAATTATGCAGTCATTATATTTTCTATAGTTCACTTTATAAAAATACTTCAAAATTTCAATATAATTTTTATTTTGTAGTTACACTTATATTTATTTTTTAGTAGTAGCAGTTACGATGCTAATTTAAAACCTGATCAAGTAAATAGTCTTGCTTCTCTCACACAAGCTCGATCACAAAATTTAACAACTAAAGATGTAAGTATATTTTTAAATTCTTATTGTTAACTTTGATTAAATTAAAATACCATAAATACAACAATGTTGTACTTTGTCTTAATCACGTTTGTATTATGCAATTATTATGTTTGTAACACTCGTGTGTTGTATGGGCTTTGACTTTAGGATCGTGCTCATGAAGATGTCATCAGGGTAAGAGTATATTGATTATCAAATGAAAGTATTCCCCAATAATATAATTTTAATATTACAAGCTTGATGCACATAGATAAATTTTATATTGCCTTTAACACTATTTATATTCATAACAAAGTTTTGTCAAATTTTTTGTTGATCTTTATGTTATACTTTGTTTTCATTATAACATTTATAATTTTGCATGGTTATTTGTTAATTGTATGGCTTTTAAATGCTCTTTACTTTTTACTGGGGTCCGGACATAAATATTTCCATTAACTATTAAATCTGGCTTCTGAAAATACCTAAAGAGTAAACATGTTAAACTCTCAGTCTTAAAAAAAAAAAATTGATAATAGTTTTAATAAATTTCAAAAAACAATAAAAAATGTGTACTTTTATCAAATTATTCGTTAGTTGTTCACATTTAAACATTATATATATATAATCTCAACCCTTTATATATGATAAATATTTTGTATCCCTTCCTAATCTTTGCTAATGATACTCTTAAAAGTATTAAAATGACCTTGAAGCTACTAAAATTCCATATAAATGCAAAATAAAAAATTCTTCATTACATGATGATCATCATCTAAGATAACTAATAAAAAAATACAATATGTATTGAAATCCGGGCCTCACTTATTAACTAAAAATAACTATTTGAAATACCTTATTTAGTTATAAATTATCTAAAAATAAATTTAAAATATTTATCATACAATATTAAAATATTTCTTTCCAAATACACTAATTATGATAAAATTATATAAGCACTTGCATTGTATGATTTCTGAAAATTAAATTTACAAAATTCTATCATCTAAATAGCAAAAAAAATTTTATTTTATATTTATAAGATCTAATAGTCATTTTATTAAAAAAAATTTTTCTAAAATATTAGTTTTTGAATCTCATATGCTTTTAATTTTTAGAATTTCATTAAATTTAGAAATTGTCGACTAGGTGAAAAACTTTAAAACATCAAACTTATAATTTATTTTTAGTTTATCAAAAAAATATAAAATTAATATATGATTTTAAACATTACTTAGACTTTTTTAAGCTGATTAAGTTTATTAAATATTATTATAAGTGTAGTAAAAAAAAATTTTCACTTTTAAATATTTTGGATGTACTAACTGTTGGTTGGTGGGATATATAAAAAGAAAAATCCTAAAAATCACTTTTAAATACTATCAAGTTTTTTCACAAAGTTGACAATATAATGTAAATTGAAATTTCATAATTTAACAATGAAAATAGTCTCAAAAACTATTAAATTATTTAAAACTAAAATACTTTTAACTATTTAATTTAAGAAGATCATGTAACGTTTTAATTAAAATCTTATTTTATTTTGCAGATGCACAGTGAACAAGATTTTGATGAAATAGCAGCTTGGCTTAATGAAAATGTAAGATTTCTTTGTTTTACTCTAAGAAACATTTTTTTAATTTTTAGTTGTAGTTTTACAATTATAGACAAATTGTTATTTATGTGTGCAAAAATAATTATGAAGAACATAAAAAAAAAATAATATTTGAAACCTACTATTATTTATAGAGAATATTTATTATCAAACAAACACCATAGTATTTTAATTTTACCAGAAATTATCAAAACATTAACAATTTTTTTTTTTTTAGTCTGTATACATCTTGATCTAAGATTTTTTCATTGAGTAAAGATAAAGTTTGAGTTATATTATTTATGCAATGATTTTTTTTTTATTTAACAGCCTGGAGCATCTGTACGACCTAGTGGAGAAATTGAAGAGTCATTATCAAGTAGTGAATTTGAAAGGTTTTTGGCTGAAAGAGCAGCTGCTGCTGAAAACTTATCATCAAATTCTAATACAACTGATCCTAGACATAGCAAAGAAAAACAAAAGGACCCTATGTTTGCTTTATAAAAATGGTTTTCTATTGTTTATTTAAGCTTATTTAATTGAAGTTAATTAAAATTAATATTTTAGTTTGGTGTATATATAATAGTATCATTGTTGATTATTTCTAAAGCTAGATACAATATTGGCCACTTCTTTTAATGGTGACTTGAGCAGATTTGTTTAATATTAAAAAAATGAAGTTTTTATCAAAATTAAATTGTAAGTAATTTTGTGATGTGCAATATCTTGTACTTTTTAGTGAATGATTTTAAAATAATGGAAAAAAAAATTATTGAAATTCCTAGAAACCTCTAAAATGTATTATAAAATGTAAATATTAAGAATGACTTAATTTTTAAATAAAAACATTCCATTATATATTATTAATATTTTTTCTTTTTTGATAAAATTATTATTATATATATATATTCTTAATTATTACATCAACTTGCATCACATTTATTTAACAATATTATTCAATTCAGCAGAAAACTATATTAAAACATATTTTAGTACTAAATTCAATCCTTTTATATTTATATTAATTTTTTTATAATACTGGTTTTGAAAACTTAATAGTCTGTAATTTATATATTTACTCTATTTGTTATGTGTTTTTAATTGTTGTTTTAACATAGAATTATATTTATGATTTATTATTACTAATGAATATTATCAACATTATACATATGGTTTTATCTTATTCAAAAACTAGAATGCACTTATAACGCCTTGCAATGTCAGTTATTTTGATGACAAGCTATTATACTATTTTATGATAAATATTAATCCACTAAAACTTAAAACTACTGCTACATTGAATTGTTTTAGTTGAAATATTTTTAACATTTGTAGTTGATTGTATCCTCTCTAATTTATTGAAAGTTTATTGTATTATTGTGATAAAATTTTCAAATTGAAACAAATTAATCTGTTATTTTATTAATATTGTTTTTCAATTGATAATATCATAAATTAACTTTTTTAAATAAATTAAAGATATATTAGTTTGTATTATACATTGTTAAATAAAAAATGTTATTCCTCATGAATTATATAATGCTTTCAATTAAAAAAAAAAATTTTTTATTTTATTACATTTTGTTTTTAATTTTGATGAAAAGATATTAATTACCTTAGGCGTTATTTTGTCTGTGGTTACAAATACTTAGTTTCTAGTAGACCAATATTGTTCAATGATACATTAGAAGATCAAAAATTATAACATTTTGAGGTTATTACCACCATAATTTGATAAAATCTCCTGTTTTCCTAATTGAGAAATCATTAAAGAAATTACAATTGTCATTTTGTCAAAAAGTTATAATTATAATTGCCCATTGATTGGGTAATTTCAATATTTTTTTTATTTTGTCTTAAATTTGCATAATACGTGTAGTATAGCTTGTACTATAATAAAGAACAATTATACAGGTTTAGTAATGAAATAGGTCAGTTGTTACAAACAATGAATATAATAGAAACCGTTTCCTTACTAAACGCGTATACATTATTTTAATATTTAACTGATCAGTTTTATATCCTTCTATTTCCCGATCCTAACATGTTACAGATGGTATTGACCCTTTTTCACATGTTAGAGAGTTAAAGATGATTCTTGGCTTGGCCAATGATGGACGAGACGGGTATTATGGCCGCTTGCACCATAGACCAAAAATCACAAGAAAAATCTCGTTGGAACCCCGAGGACGAACACGGCACCCCATGCGCCAAAATATACGTTTCTATCCACTAGGCCAGGTCAACCACCACTTATATATTATTTTAATATTTTTATTAATTTAATACAAATATCGATGTTTTCTATAATTTATCAATGTTTATAAATTTACATTGAATTTTTTCAAGTTTCCGTTATTGTTAGCATAGATGATTTAAAAATTACGAAAAAAATAACACCCTTAACTTTTAGAATTTGTCCTTGCTCATTATCGCGTGCTTAGATATAAGTGTATACAATTTGGGAATTTCACTGAACATACTTATATTTTCGGGTGTCCAGATTTTTAAAACTGATCGGTATTTTATTTTCTAAATAAAAATTACAATTTAACACGAAGCATTGTAATCTATGTAATTTTAATTATCTCCATGATCTAGAGCTTAATGTCAACCTAAATTATAGTCTAAAAGAAATTGAAGATGAGAAAAATTCGTTTTCAAATTTTGGAATTTGAATAATAATATGACCATAGAGTAATATTAATATATAGTATAGTAATATACTTCAGTGTATTAGTACTTTAACAATAATATCAATATGGAATAATTATGGATATTACATGTAGAGTAATACAACAATAATACTGTACGAGAGACTTATTAAAAATATATCCGATAAGCATATAAGAATACTATTCGATAAAGATAAGTATATTAATATTTTCTTAAAACGTTCCTAACATCTTATTCGTGATCGTCAATATAGTAAATTGTTACTCACATTTATAACTAAGAAATTTTCTTCGAGGGAACATACAATTACTATCTGCTTTTCTATTCTATTACTATTCTTCACGTTATTAAATTTAAATTTATACCTCTGTTATTTTTTCATTATTGTTTTTTTTTAATTATTTATTTTCTTAATTATAATATTTTTTATACATTTTAAAGGCAGTTTTATAAAACTATGTATGCTGTAAAAACTCCAAGTAAATATATGTCAGCAAAAACTAGAAGAGGTAAATTAATACTTTTACATTTTTTAATATTACATTGTATAAATTCTTAAAATTAATTTAATAAATATTTTTTTCATTAAGGAGTTCGTCATAGTTTTGATAGATTAGATTCATTCCGTGAGAATCTGAAAAAAGGCAATGGAACTGAAGAAGAAGAACTACCTTTGTAAGTAAATTGAACTACATCTTACTAATCCAAATATTAACATTTTTCTATTAAACATTTTTTAGGCCTGAACCAAAACCAGTTTTCCACTCTAATAGTCACAGGAAATCATTTCACAAGAATCATTCCTCTCTACCTGATGTATTGAGTCCTCAGCATGAAAAACTCATTCAATATATTAATGATTGTAAGTTTTTTTTTCTAAGTAATAATTCAACAAAATTTATTTTTGACAAAGAAGTACATTAAATTTTATGATTATATAAATTAATATACTTTTAAGATAATTATAAAATTATTTCAATTTCCTTTCCATAAGAATAAAGTTATATGAAGCAAAATTGTTCTATTTTAGCATGCAGTGGTAGTAAATTAAATTAAGTGGAGTATAATCAAAGTATGAAACTGATAAACTCTATCTTCATTGAAAATTTGAATGGACTTTAAATTTTAGTCAGATAAAAAATAGATTAGATAACTAATAACTTCCAAAAAGGTTGTTTTTTAATGTATAAATATAATTACTGCACTAATGAAAGTTGATCCAGACTCTAATTGTTTAGTATAGTAAATAATGTAATAATTGTTAATTGATAACATTTGTCTTTGTCAAGCTTAACAAATATTTAGATTGTTTGATCTGAATTTAATATATGTATAGTAAATATGCTTTATATTCTTAATTTATTATATACGTCTATTTTTTAGCTTCGATGCAAAGCGGAGAAGGTATTAATTTTACTATGATGTGTTTTTTTTTTTTTTTT